TCAGTAAGACTTGGGTTTTGTGAATCAAATCATTGAACCATCTGAATATCGAACCATCGATTTGAACAATGAATTATCTTGTTGGCTTTTCATTTAAAATGTATTGTACATTGTTTATTTTTAGCTATGAAACCATCTTACAAAATAATTGTTCATTTATTGAACTGTAGAAAAATTTATATTTATTGATTATCGATTTATTTATTTATTTATTTATTTTTTAATACTTGATCCAGCTGGCAGTGATGGTTGGTTATTTACTAGGCTGTCTAGCTTACCCTTATTTTATTTTTTTCAGATTCTGAAGAGTAGAGCTGCGCGGGATTTTTTTTTTACATATGGGAGTGCCGAGAGTAGGACTATGATTTAAGTACTTGGATTATTTGTTTTGTTAATGGATTTTATTAGTGGACTTGGTGGATAATTTCATATGATAAGAATAATCAATTTTTTTTTTTTTTATGGATTTTAGTATTATGATAATTAAGGATTTGATTGGTATATTTTACATTGTTAGTTATGTGTTGGACTCTTAGCCTTGCATGCTCACTTAAATGAGTGTGCGGCGTTGTCACGGAGCATGGGACGTGACAAAAATCTGAAATTTCCAGATTCGAACCTCAAGCTCAAAACTCAACTACAATGCATCAAATTCGACCATTTTGGGCTAATTTTCTGGAAAACACTTGTAAACTCATAGTATAAGATGTTTTAAAGCTCAATTTGTAAAATCAAAGCCCAAGAGTGAATCAATTGAACACAATTCTAAGTAAAACTTCAAAAATTAATAAATAACAAAGCATGCAAGTGTTCAATTGAATCCAATGCTCCAAGAATGTAGCCAAATGCAAGATTAAACTCAAAATCATGATGAAATCATGGACTATAACTAGAACATAGCCTTGCATGCAAGAAATTCCATGAAAACACTTCAAATTGTTATGATATGAACATGAATGCATGAATTAAGCTTAAATTCAACATGTTTGAGCTAATCTTAGGCTTAGGTAAGTAATTTCATATGAACCATGCAAGAACTAACTCAATTCACAATTAAGAAGGTAATTCTCCTACCTTAAGTCTTCAATTCCAAGTCTAAAAGCTCAAGTATGCACACAATTCTTCAATTCCTCTAAGTTCAAGCTCAAATCTCTTGTTGAAGAGAAGTCTCACGCACTCTCACTCTTTCTCACGTTTTTTGTCTCTAAAGGTTGGACAAGAGTGATGTATCAAAGGCTCCAAACAATGTTGTAGGTAGTGGCCCATAAAAGGGCAATTTTGTAAATAATTGGACTAATGTAATTTAACGTTATTTAATCTAGTTTAATCGCTCCGAACCCAAATTTAATCAAACCTACCATAAAATTCTATAAATCCTAACTAGCACATAAATCAAGTCAATTTCTGATTCAGACGCCGATAAGGCTTTCAATTCGCAATTTAAAGTCAAAGACATGAACAGATCATTTTATCGCAGACAGATAGAAATACGTAAATAATGTAATACACATGCATATAAACTCCAAATCCTTCCTAGATTACTGTTAAGCATAATTAATCACGAATTAGCATTAATCGGAGGTCGAAGTCATTACAATCCCATACCCAAATAGTCACATAAACATATTGTCAAATAAACACATAATGTCATACATAAGTCTCTAACAAGCGAGACAAACCCATTGTGATACTAATCACTTTCCGCGTACCCAAAGTATTCGAACCCGGTACGCTCTAATACCAAGTTGTAACGCCCTCAAAAATAAACCCATCATAACATATATTCACGATAAATAGAAGAGATTTCAAATTACAATCATCAGAGTATTCTTACAAAAAGTATTACATGTTGACAACAAAAGTAAATGCCCTATTGGCTTACAACTTTCCAAGTCAACACTTGGTTACAAAAAGGAGAGTACTAACTCTACACAAAATAAGCCTTTGACTTGATATACATGTAATACAACAAAAACAACAAAAAGGAGTCTGACAGCCTCAAGCCTCCCAAGCTACGTCCTTGGAGGTGGCATAACACTTGTACCTGAAAATGATGTCCCATATAGGGTGAGCCAGCGCCCAGTAGAGATATGCTAAACATAATATGAGCAATAACTAAAACATTAACACTTGATAAACATTTAACTGATAAAAACCAACATACGGTACAATCCAGTTCCA